AAGCACAACCCCACCAGCTAACTTCTGATTGGTTCCTTGCCACGAGGAGGGCATCTGACCTCCTAGTGACCAGGACAGGGGCTGCAAGGTCATGCAAGCACATGGTAGCCTGTCATGGCTGCTAAAACGGGGAGGCTGGTCACTACAGTTAGAAGTTAAAATTCAATAAAAAATATACACAAACACTGAAGCATGTGTTATTGGCCATAGAAAGTGTAAAACTATAATTTAACTGTTAATGCATTTTGTACTAGTGTAAAAACTTAGATGCCATCCCCTATTGTTGAATGACAAGAGTGGCCAATGTTTGCTAAAACCCGTGTGATGCTGGTCATCTCCTAAGAGCAGTTATGTTTCCAATAGACTATGTATAACAGTCAAAGTGACCTCTCCTGGTTTGCACACATTTTCAGCATGTATTACACACATGAAATGTAGCATATGATATAATCAGTTTTTCTGTTACCTGTTGGGCTTCTGGTCAACAGCAGGCAGGTGGAAGCTGAATGCTAGGGAAGTCAATGGCCAAGCTAGAGCAGAAAGTGACCCAGGGACAGTGGAACATCCCCACCGATGCCATCAGACCGTTCACCATCACCATGCAGCATGGCAGAAGGGCTGCATCCACCTTAGCCTCGAAGCTGGGGACAACTCAAGGATGGGCAGAGAGGGGGTGACCCAGAAGACCCCATGTCAGTGGCACTTGCCTATGGCAAGACACAAGACTGTCACCCTAAGGTTGGAGAACAGAAAAAAAAGTTCTGTGTAAAGAGCAGATACAGTTTCACCAACTGTATGTTGCTGAGGACAGCAGACACTGTGTGGGCGAGGAATACTGGAGGCAGCTTCCTTGTGCAAGAGCTGTCTGTGGAAGGGTTTGTTGGTGCTGTTGAGTGACAAAGGGTCAGAGGTCCTGCTGAGGTCCCTGCTTAAGACAGCCCAACACAGGCTCTAATCACGTTGCAGGGTTCCTCCACATGATTAATTGGACAGCTGCCAGAACGGTGAGGAGAACTAGGAGAGGCTCCAGGGTCAGGCCTCACCCCAAGCCAAGGATCCCACCACCTTACACATGGAGACACCCGTGGGCACAGGCCACCACCTTACACATAGAGACACCCGTGGGCACAGGCCACCACCTTACACATGGAGACACCCGTGGGCACAGGCCACCACCTTGTACTGTACAGAGGTGAGGTGAGTGCTGACACCCATGATGCAGAAGGGGATAGACTAGCCACACACACACACACACACACACACACACACACACACACATACACACACACACACAACACACACACACACCTCTCTAACACACACTGCTCAACATGAAGGCTACAGTAATAGTTTCAGGCATGCTGCCATATATTTTCCCCTTCTTTCTTTCCTTTACCTTTGTGTGTCTCTGAATCCTTCCTGTTCTACAAAAGCATATCTTATTCTCAGCAAATGCTGTGAGAGCCAGATGCTTTGCTGTGTGCTGAGTTTAGGATCCTGGAAGTTTAGCAACTGAGACGGATTTGCACATCTGAAACCATGAAGTAAATATACAATATTTGCCTTAGGAAACATGAACAGTTGGCAGTTGGTTCTTTTTTTTTTTTTTTTTTTTTTTTTTTTGGTTTTTCGAGACAGGGTTTCTCTGTATTACTTTGGAGGCTGTCCTGGAACTCACGCTGTAGACCAGCCTGGCCTCGAACTCACAGAAATTCTCTTACCTCTGCCTCCCAAGTGCTGGGATTGAAGGTGTGTGCCACCACTGTCTGGCTGAACAGTTGGTTCTTAAGTGCTGTCTCAAGTGTGTCTTAATCCATGGTTATTGTTTACTAAATCAGTATGATTTGCTGCTGAGAGAAGTTACTACAAGAGCCTCGACAGGATACTCACTTGGTGAGCCATCGGAGGCAGAGGGCAAGAAAGTCTCCCTGAAGTGGAGAAAGCCTTCAAACCTGCACGTATCTCCTAGGGAAAACAAACAACCTTTCTAAGTCAAGCTTGGAGAGCTTGGCTAAATTTACTCATTCAGTACCCTTGGGAAGTGCTAACCAGGGATTGCAGAGGGGGTGGGGTGAGAATACTGTCCTGCCTACATGGAGGGGCAACCAGAAATGACCTAAATTTGGCCAAAAGAGATTAATTTGAGCTCACTGCAGCCATTGCCTTCAAAGTAAAACAGACAGGAGCTAAATGTGCAGTGGTAAGGAGCATCTATAGGGTCTCACCTCTGAGGCAGGGCTAAGCTTTCCTAAAAACAAAGCAGTCTGGTGCAATGATACGCACCCTGTGGGTCACGCATGACCCCCCTTGCCAAACTTCTATCTCCAAAAATTTTACATTTGATTCACAACAGTTGCAAAATTACAGTTATGAAGTAGCAATGAAAATAATCTTATGGTGGAGACAGAAGCAGAGATCCACAGCTAAGCACTGAGCCGAACTCCTGGAATCCAGTCATAGAGAGAGGGGAGTGATGAACAAAGGGGTCAAGACCATTCTAGAAAACCCCACAGAAACAGCTGATCTGAGCAAGTGGGAGCGCATGGACCCCAGCCAGACAGCTGGGGAACAGTATGTGACAGAACCAGCCCCCCTGAGCTTGGGTGACAGTTAGGAGGCCTGGGCAGTCCATGGGGCTTCTTTCAGTGGAACCAGTGTTTATCTCTAGTACATGAGTGGACTTTGGGAGCCCATTCCCCATAAAGGGATACTCTCTCAGCCTAAATACACGGGGAAGGGCCTAGGCCCTGCTCAAAATGGTGTGACAGACTTTGATGATCCCCCATGGAAGGCCTCACTCTCCCTGGGGGACTGGATGGAGCATGGGGTGTGGGAGGGACACGGGAGGATGGGGAGGAGAGGGAACTGCGATTGATATGTAAAATAAGGTTGTTTCTAATTCAAATTTTAAAAAGTTAAATAAAAAAAGAAAGAAAATAATCTTATGGCTGGGGGCCATCACAATGTGTGGAGCTATATTAAAGGGTCCAGCATTAGGAAGGGTGAGAACCGCTCATCTGGTGGCTTCCATAAGCATGCTTATTCAGATGTGAAGGTCTCTCTTCAAAGAGGCAGTAAACTCGCTTTACAGATGTCAGGACACGCAGGCAAGGAGGGCTTTTATCTTGAGATTTGTTTCTTCCTGGCAAACCGTACATAGCATGCATCCACCGTGTTAGCCATTCTCCAGCACACAGTTCAGGGGCGCTCAGTATGGGTGGCAGAGTGGCTCCCTCCACCGCTCACCCCAGAGCCTCCATCACCCGACCTAAAACTCTTAAACACACGAAACAGTCATTCCCCTTCCCCGCGGCCCTGGGAATGGCTCTTCTACCTTCTCTATGGCTTTGACTATTCTCGGTCTCTTCTATAAATGTGGCCACAGTGTTAAATTAAAAAAAATAAATAATAATAACAAAGCAGAAACACATTCAAAATGGACTCACTTGAGCTGAAGTCCTTGTCATTAAACAGGAACTAAGCTGTTATGACTTCTGAGGAATCGTTGGGCACACAAGATAGCTCAGTGGGTAAAGATGTTTACACTCTAGGCTTGCACCCAACTTCCCAAAGTTGCCTTTTGACCTACACACACACAAATAAACAAATCCCCCAACTAAGCCTATTAGGTAGAATTAGCCTAAACACTTACACAAAAGCTTTATACCCTCACCCAGGAGAGACAGGGGTTTCTCAGCATCCATGCCCACACTTAGTTTTTTCTGGTTTCATTTGTGTTTAAATGCTGACCATCCTACTGGGTGTGAAAGAAAATGTTTACTGACTAGTTCTGCGCCAGGGTGGGGCCAGCAAGCGGTGGGGACCACTGGGAGTGCTGTGGAGGAGAGTACATGGGCGGCCAGGGGGTCGCTGTTCAAGCTTCTGGCCCTGGGGTGAGTAAGGTCTGAGTTCCAGTGCATTTCACATACCAAGTTAAGCACTGCCTCTTCTGGGAGGAGGCACCAAGTTTTCTTCCTGGAAAGTCATGTCATCTTGCCAAGACAATTATTCTGGCTGCTTCCCGGAGGAGCTATAGGTAGACCAGATTAATGCACAGGATAATGCCTGGTCCAACACAACTAGAGGAATATTTAAACCCTTTCCACGTGGTATTCTGCTATCTCTCTAATGTTTTTACAAAATGGCCCCTGAATTCCTTGACGCTCCTCATATTGACAAGCGGGGTCTATGCCACCACCTCTTATCTGGGATCAGTGGCAGCCGCTCCCTGGTGCCAGTATCTGGGCCGAGGCCTTATGTAGGTGGCAGTTTCTACTTCCTCTCTCTTGGGACATTTCTTCTTGGAATCTAGCCACCACACTGTGGGGTTGCTAAAATCCCTTCCCAGGGGGAGATATAAGTCCCGTACACCCCTCCCACTAAGGTCCCAAGAACAAACTGAGGTACGATTCCACCACAGTTACCGCAGGGAACCAACAAATTATAAGGGCATCCATATGGGCAAGCCTCCTCCGAGAAACCCGGCTGTTAACTCACAGGCATTAGTGTTTGGCCCTCATCGCTCCTACTCTCCCATCTTACCATATGGTCTTGACACACTCTTCTTGTGTGGGGTCTCCCACTGCCATTTCAAGTACGTGGGCATCACCACTTCTCTGAGCACACGCTAGAGCCTTCCACAGATTTTTCAGCTTCCCCCTGCCCTGAGCTAAGCGAGGCTTTCGAGTGTGGCAGGGCTCACTTGATCCAAGGACTTCTAAGGTGAGGAGGACTCACAAGCTAAGCAAAGTTGACAGAGGACAAAGGAGACGCGACCTCTGGGCCCTGGCTTCCCCCTGGAGATCAAACACGCCCCGTTCTCACGGCCTGGTTGGTGTCTTGAGTTTCTTCCAAATGCCCCAGCCCAGCTCCGCTCTGTCACTCTCTACTCCCTCCCCTACCCCTCTTAGACACACCCCCAGCTCTATCTCAGAAAGGAAATAGTTAAAGATTCCTGCCCTTCGGGGCCTGGCGGGGGCAGCAGCCTTGCAGCCTGGTGGCCGCTCCCTGGAGGGGAGGGGGGATAGGACTCCTGCAGTTGGGTCCCAGAGTGGAGGGGAAGGTCTGGAAGCCTGTGGAGCCTGGGGAGGACCGCGGGAGGCGTGTTCCTCCGGAGTTTGCTTTTGCTTGGGAGACTCGCGCGCGCACACCCAGTGCTCTAGCCGGGCGACCGTGCGGGGGAGGTGAGGAGCCTCTCTCTGATCCACTGGATCGTCGCCGCCGGAGGTTGCAGGCTGGGCGAGATCTCCCCCAAAGGAGCCGGGCCCTGCTGGAGAAGTTTCCTCAAGTCGAGGCAGCGCTGCAGCCCCAGTCACCCGCCACCCTGCGCGCCAGCCTCGTTCTTCCACTCCGGCTCCGGCTGGCCCAGGCGCGGACCTGGCTGGCGGTGTCTGCGTCCTAAGAGCTCCAAGGTCGGTGCAAGTCTTTCCTAATGGGAACCAGGAGTGAGACAAGGGATAGGGCAGCAGCCTGGGACAATCGGCTGGGAGGAACTGGGGTGTCGCACAGCACCCGAGAAACTCCGCGGTTGGGGCCAGCACCTACCTGCCCTGGAGCCTACTGTGGGTCGTCTTTCTGGGAGTCAGCGCGGGGTGGGTTGGGGTGCAGGAGTGCGGTGATGAGCTTTGACCGCAGATCAAAAGCATTTACATCCCCAGGCAAACTCTGATTTTTTAGGGAAGAAAAGTTGGCCCAGGAGCATCTCTTTCTCCACAGGCCGGCAAGAGCTTTCAGTAGCATCATGCCTAAGGCTTGCCCAAAGCCTACTTACTGATGAAGCTGGCCCGTAGCCTCTTCGCATGCATCTGCACCCCGGTGTGTGTAGCCAAGGACACTGATCTGTCTGTGAACCCCTCGGCTCACACACCACGACTGCAGCAGCTAGTGTTGGAAATCTGTCTGTTGTGGGAGGTCTGGGCTGTTTGTTCCATACTGTCCTTTAAAGGACACTTGTTGCCTTTCACGTGCAGAACACTAGCAGTTGTAGATAAGCCATGTCTGTTTACACCGCCCTAATGGCCTCACCCCGCAGACAAGGAGTGAAGGCACATCAGAGTCAGTCGGTGCCACCCAGGAGCATCAGAGGGCAGCATCACAGAGAATCTGAACACAAGTTCTGAGTTTAACACTTTCCTCCCCTCGTAGTTTCTTATGCACCCCCATTCCCACCAACCCATCTGCTTTTAAAGTGTTGGCCAACTGAGCAAAACTTTGGCAACCGTGTCATACCTGCCCTAAACATGTGCACTTTGGGTGCCACGAGAATTTCCAAGTTGCTAATGGCAAGTGAACTTTTGTCCTGAGAGTCTGATATGTTCAGTAGGTGAAGTGCTGAGGGTTCTGTGTTTGTTAAAGCACTTAGAGCCACAAAAGGAGAAATGGTGAATCCCTTCCGTGTTGAATGTCCTTCCATCTTAAATGTAGGTTGCTTCTCCAGAATGGAGGCCGAGGACAGCCTAGCAAAGCTTGCCTTGAACACACCCAAACGAGCTCCAGATCCATCCTGGGGAAAGCATGCTAAAAGGAGGTTTCTTTCATTTGGTTTTGTGTTTTTTCACTCTGTGACAATGTGGTATCCACATGTTTTTGACAGATGTCCCTTAGATGTGGAGAGCTGACAGAGGTGTCAGGAGAAATGAGTTCTTTGGTAGTGTCTCTGTTGGGGGGAAGCAAGGGAGGAAGGGAGCAAGCTAATGTGGCTGGCTGACACTGTGGTGAGAAGCCACGGCTTTGACCTTCGCAGTGCCAGTAGCTGATGGAGGAGAGCAGCTCCTGTGAGCACCAGTGAGGCTCTTCACGAGGGTGCCATGTCAGCGACAAGCAAGTGGTTCGTGAAGTCACTCTTGGATGGTCCTAATAGATCACGAAGCTATTCCACTTATGGGAAAGACCTCTCATTTTTAAGAAAACTATCACTGACTCCATCCCCATTGGAAAGCTAGGAATTTTAGTCACAAAGCAGTCAAGAAGTTAAAGAACTGTGCCTCCCTCATTATTCAAAGGGCATATTTTAACAAGCTTTGTGCTTGGAATTCTCATCTCCATCTGGGAGAGGAAATAAGGATATTTTGTAGGCCTACTAATAATCCAGCCAGATACTCTGGGCTGTAAGAGACAGGAGAGGAAATCTGTTAACTACCTATAATTAAGGGTGAGCAGAAGTGACAGAGGGGACAGGTAGGTGGCAGGTCCCTAGCTTTGAAATCACAGCACCAAGTGAAACCCTGCAACCCAGCTGTGAGATGAGACAGCCGTCCTGCTACTTTTAGTCTGTGACGCCAGTCACGTCTCCTGAAGACTTCCTCTCACGTGAAGTGTGGACGTTGCCTCTGCCACTGCTGTGGGTAAAGCTCGAGTCAAGAAACAGGGGGTGTCTGTGAGGTGCGGTGCAGAAAATGCTGTTGTTGTTTCGGGAAACAAAGGTACACAGTACTCCGCTGGCGTTTACCTTATCCTTCCCATCCAAGTCAACATTTATTATTTTGTCCGCACACTGACTAAGCCTAAACTTAATGATGCCCCTTGACTGCTATCAAAATTCCTAAAAGTGGTCAGGAATAGTTAGCCTTGAGCAGACTCCAGAAAAAGAATGTAAGTCTCAAAACTTAGGATTGTCTGTGAGTGTCCTAGTTACACACACCACTGTCCATAAATGAAGCTATGGTCTTTGTTTACAGATTAATGAAAGAAAGGTACAAAGCACTGAGGTAGGAGGAGCTGCTTGACTTTGATTGTTAGCCTGTCACCACTGACCCTCCTCGGTTTTCTAGTGTCTTAGTGTTCTTCTCTAAGAGTTAGAGAAGAAACCTAGATCCTGGGCAACAGGGACCATGCACCCTTTGCAAGTGACAAAACAAAAGGATGTCAGAAGTCTTTTGGTCACAACCTGACCTCCCCTCCCAGTCTGCTGCTCTGGGTAAACTCTGGAGACATCTTCACTGTGATGTTGACACCAGCAAAGCATGAAAATGAGAGACAGGATGGCCTGATAACTAAAGCTCAGGTTTGGAGTCAGATGGAGCTACCTCAGAGCTGTGGGTTTACAACCATCTGTGATCTCATGAGATACTGGGGTTTCCTTTTAGCTTCTCTGTCCTCCTGATAGACCTGTGTGTGACTTCATGGGATCACCGCATGGGCTAGACAGCAGCAGCACGTGACGTATTCGACACAGTGCCTGGCTCTTGGCAAATCTTGATAGATAGTATACTTGCAAGATAGTATACCAAGAGCCAGCTAGCTCTTGGTAAACCAGTGTGATCAGCCTGGGAAAGCCAGACACTCACTTAGCCCCCATTGGTAGGTATCATGGTGGTTTCTGGTGCATAGAAGGGGAGTTTAAAATATGTGGATTTTACACATTAATGGTCAAGGATTTCAAACTAAATCTTTTCATCAGCCATCTTTTTTTCCCTGTTTTGTGTTGCTAGAGATGGAGCAGGTATGAGTATGCAAACTATTTCACATTTCATTATAGCTTGAACTGTTAGTGTATTCGCAGTGTCAAACAGACTTCTGACTTTAAGTGAACACTTTAATGCTCTGTTGCCCCTGTCCCTACCATGTGCAAACCAGCCCACACTGGGAGATGCTGAATTCTTAATCAGATTCTTCTATTTTGTGCCTCAATGTGAAGCAACTTTTCCTCTTTCACCAAAAAGATTTCTGTCTCACTTCTGGAAGATCAGGTTCTCATTAGCCTGAATTAAGAGAAAAAAACTGCTGTCTTTAAGGAAAACTGAAACATCTTTATTCCTGTTGTGTTCTAGATACAGGTAGAGCTGTAGCTAGAGCCAGGGCTGGGTGGGTGATGGGCGGTCATTGCTTGCTGTAATAAATCTTTGGCCTTTCCTATTTTGACCTGCCGTGGGTAGCCTGACATAGCTATATCTAATTACCAAATATGGCTTATATTTCCATTAAATTAGTGAACACTCATTACCAATGATCTTTGGGGCAGCTAGATTTTGTAGCACATAATAATAACAACAACAACAACAATAATAATTTTCCTATTCTTTTTTCTTCCAGGTGAAAGAAAGAAGGGTGTAAAAACGACATAAGACATTTCCTCCCATTTAAGATGGATACGTTTTGCCTCGTGGCATCCTTTTGGCTGGCCCTGGCAGGAGGCGTAATCAGTGGCAGTCCTGAGGGATACAGCATGAATCTAAGCAGCCACGCGGAGAACTTCACTCCTTATCCAGGAACAGAGTTCAACTTCCTGGGTACCACTCACCGACCCACCAATCTGGTCCTGCCCAGCAATGGCTCAATGCACAGCTACTGCCCACAGCAGACTAAAATCACGTCTGCTTTCAAATACATTACCACTGTGATATCCTGCACCATCTTCATCGTGGGAATGGTAGGGAACGCGACTCTGCTTAGGATCATTTACCAGAACAAGTGCATGAGGAACGGTCCCAATGCGCTCATAGCCAGCCTGGCCCTAGGAGACCTTATCTACGTGGTTATTGATCTCCCCATCAATGTGTTCAAGGTAGGAGATTTGCTGACCTCTGACCCTTTGCTCTGTTCTGACTGGGAGGCTTATTTCTGCTATCTTACAGCTCATTGACGTTTTAAGATTGTTATTGTTATGTATTAGACTATTTTCTAACGTAGCTGTTGGTGAAACGGTATTTCAAGGGTGACCCTTAAGATGTTTCTGTGGCATGACGTGGTTCCCAGGCCAGCGCTCCCTCCGTTGGCTGGCTCCACGGGCAGTCTTGGGGCAATCGACGACTCGAAGTTTCTTTTGAGTTTTTAGGGTGAGATGTACCAAGCTCCCAATGAACGTAAGATTGCATATATATTCGATTTCAGTTATCTTTCAGCGAGATGCTGTTCAGAACACACACCCACAGCAGAGAGAGCCTCAAGTGGAAAAGCTTCTATTTTAGTCTGGGTGCCCTTGCGGGTGATTGAGGCTGAAGGGCTTGCTGGCTTCTCTCTGTGTCTGGTGACTTGGAGATAATGAAGCCCACTGGTGGAAGGCCAGAATTGAATTACTAACCAAAGCCATTTAAAGCAGGCCTGGCTGCTCCTTTCCACACTCAGCTGTCGCATGCCCATCCCTGAGCTAGGCAGCCGGGGTCCAAAGATGGGGAAGAAGAGTTGATGTCTCCATGGGGAGCGATGGGTGCCTGAACACTGCTGAGGTCGCCTTGCCTTAGGGACTAACACTAAAACCAAAAGAAGCAAATTATTATGAATTTGCTGTAGTTGTTGTGAGGGAAAATTGCTGAAAAAAATTTAGGTACAGTAAAAGTCAAATGAAGTTGGTATGTGTGCCAAATTTTAAGGAATGTCTCTTCACCGGAAACCTAAGGAAATTGCTTTCCCCAGACTATTTTTCTCCCCTCCTCCTCCTCCTTCCCTTCCCCCCTCCCTCCCTCCTCCTCCTCCTCCTTCTTCCCCTCTTCTTCCCCCACCTCCTCTAAGGTGAAGTCAGGCTCCTCCCCTTTCTCCTCCTCCTCCCCGTCCTCTTCTCCTGTCTGTCCTCCTCTTATTTCTTATCCGCCCCCTCTTCCTTTTCCCCCTTTTCTGCCACAGGTCAAAAGGTCGTGACCCCTTCAAGGGTTGCTTATCAGATATTTACATTATGGTTCACAACAGTAACAAGATTACAGTTATGAAGTAGCAACAAAATAATGTTATGGTTGGGGGTCACCACTACATGCGGAACTATATTAAAGGATCTTACATTAGGAAGGTTGAGAACCACTGTTCTAAGTGATACAATTCTAAAACGTTACTTTAACTGCTTTTGCCACTTAAATTAAGAGTATCAGGGTGGCCTGGGGTAGCCTACCTGTTTGTGGTAGATGTGCCCAAATCACAGTGAATTCTCATAAAGACACCACAAGCACCCGTGTTCTAGCACTAAAGGTGGAAGCGGTGGTTTGTTGTTTTGTTTTGTTTTTGAGACAGACTTTCTCTGCTTAGCCTGGGCTGTCCTGTGCTCCCTATGCAGACCAGGATGGCCTTGAACTCACAGAGACCCTCCTGCCTCTACGTCCTGTGTGCTGGGATTAAAGACATGTGCCACCCACCCAGCTGATAATTTTTGAACGCTAACTATCTTTCAAAATTATACTATGCACTTTTTGGAAAAGTAGAGAAATTAGACAATAAATAATCAAAAAATTGCATACTATTTCTTCCCTCAGAATAAGTATGAATGCATGTGATTTCACTTTGAACATGAAAACAGAATTTTTAACTAAACTGCAATGCAAAGTTAAAAATGCATAATTAATTTAAAATGTTTAGCATATGCTTCAAAATTTGTTTTTTTTTCTCTTATACTTCACTTTCTTGTGATATCCTACTTCAAAGACAGATTTCTAAGAGATTGTCATGACTTTCGGTCAGAATTTGACCCTCCAGTCTCCGGTTGATTATTGGTGAATGTTATTAACTCTTGATTGTTTGCACGTAGACCCTGGTTAATGAGTTTATCTTTGTTCAGGAGAATGATTAACCGTCTCTAAGCTAACTCCCTGCTCCTGCTCTGTCTGATGCTCTGTAGATGCAACCCTAGCAAAGCTGGGTCTTGAGGAACCAATAGGTCGGCTGCAGGGGGCGGGGCCGGGGAATGATTATCTTTGCCTTGCTCCTGCCAGTCACCACACTAAACTTCATTTCTGCTGGATGGTGAGTCAAGTTAGCTGAGAGAGCTCTGACTATTGTAGGAATCCAGATACAGTTCATGTTGTGTTCTCGTAGTGACGGATTGTTGTCCAACCCCATGCCTCTTCACTTTGGGGTCTCTCATGACGGATGCACCTCATTATAATTTAAAGTAATATGGACAGTTTGGTCATGGTGCTTTCCCATCACATGACTGCGCTTGTTTAACTCCTGAGTTTTAAATGTAAAATTAAAACTTTTAATAAAGATTTAAATATTAAAATGTTTAAATAAGCACCTCAGTCCTCATGCTGGGAAAGAAAACAGCACCGTCATTGGCTTAAGAGACCACAACAAGTGTCTCCTGGCTGAGCTGTTTCCCATCTGTCATTAGCCATGTAGCTTGGTGGCTTTTCATGGTCTCTGGACATATGTACCAGTGAGCTTGACCCTAACTAGTTGTTAGCAAGGCATTTAGAGATCTTAAGTTAAAAGAAAACTGGGTTACATCTGGAGTGTCTATGTGGGTTAGGGAGAAACAATCAGAAAGTGGGGAGGAACGGCTCCAGACCTCACTTGCACGCACACCCTCACGCTTGAGTGACAGGAGAAAAATCTCAAAGTCTAACGAGACAGAATGTGAAGCAGGAGGGACACAGAAAGCAAATGAATGCCAGTTGGCTTCTGGGTTTGCAAACACACACGGTCCTTGCAAGTGGCAGTGCTGAGGGACAGCTATGGCAAACTCGATCAAAGCACAACTCCAATTTTCAGTGGCTCAGAAAGCAGATGAGAGCATAACTGCAAAAGAAGACCAGTAAAAAGCTTGAGGGAAGGAAAGAGTTTGGATGGTTTTCCCCATGTCCAGGCATCCGGCCTGGACTGCATACACTGGAGACGATTCAGTTTGCCAGGGAAATGCATTGTCTAATATTCCAACTTCAAGCAATATAAAATTCGGCCAAGCATATTAACATGTTTACAAAACATTTGCATGTTAGGATGGCAACACAATGCAAATATCACCTCTGTGTTTGAGGATCAAGACTAATTCCCAATTAGCATATTGGTTAGAAACATAGAATGCACTAATTTTTATTCTTTAGTGACATAAAATTATATTTATATCAGGTAGTCTTGCCTGTCAGGATATGAGTTTTATGATTTGTAATAAAGTAGAAACCTCAAAAGTGGGGTTTGTGGGTGGGCCAAAGCTTGGCAGCATGTAGTTTCAGGATAATAATTTACCCAGATGTTCACACAGATGTTCCCATAAGCCACTGTGCCTTGCCTTTTAAGCAGAAACAAGAATGAGGGAAAGCATATGTATGAGAGACACAGGGTAAAATGAATGTGAGTTATGGCAGTGAGGAGAGGCAAAAGGTTGAGCTTAGTGACACAGGTCCTCTGTAGCGACAAGCTCAAACTGTGGTGCTCTTTAGATAGTGTGGTAGGCGGATAGTGCCTCCATTTGCTCTTTGGGTAGTACGGTAGGCAGATAGTGCCTCCATTTAGCACACAGCAAGAAGTAGCTCCCTGAGAATCACAGAGACAGAGTGCCCTAACTGGCTCTACGCAACCAAAAGTAAGCAAATGCAGTTTCTGTATGAAGCCACCAAGAGTATTTTGCAATGGGAAGCCAAAGCTCCCAGGACCTCTATCTGGCAGAGGATCTGAGCAGGGTGGTAACAAAAGGCTTTTCCCTAATGCCAATTACTCTCCATATTCACCCAATCTTGTACTCTTTGTGGGGAGTGGACAGTAGTACAACTGTCATTTTATGACACAGCCAATCACCAAGACAGCTTGGGTCTCAGAAATAAGTTGTCATGACGCATACATCAACTAACTCAAACGTAGATGCTTCGGTAATGCTTGCTCTGGTTTGACGGGAGCCTTGACTGTTGAAATTAACTTCTATTCAGCTTTTCTTTTCTTTTTTAAAATTACTTATTTTTGGTTTTTTGCATTGGTGTTTTGCCTGCATGTATGTCTGTGTGAGTGTCTTATCACTTGGAGCTGGGTTACGGACAGTTGTGAGCTGCCATGGGGGAGCTGGGAATTGAACTCTGTTCCTCTGGAAGAGCAGCCAGTGCTCTTACCTGCTGAGTCATCTCTCTGGTCCCTGTAATCGGTTTTTATGAGACCTTCAGATGATGACAGGGATGATTTAACAAAAGGATTCTTCATTTACAGATGAGGTACCTGCTGTCTACCCAACGTATTTTCCAAGTTAAATTACCCATCAAATCCCATGTGTGGCCATCACGTTGTCGCCCCTTCGCTGTGTCTTCAACAGAGAGAGGCAGGCCTTTTCACTCATGCCAGTAGCGGTGTCGTAATGAAATTAGCTGTAGAAGCTGCCCTCAAATTTTAATAGAGAAAACCATTTCCTTTTGTCAAGACCTCTGTCCCTCGCTGGTGCTCTGGTGTCCCAGTCGTACATGTCCATCCTCTCCAGCACCTGCCTCTCTAGGCGTCTATCTACCCCGGCTACCTGACCTAAGCAAGATCTCAAGATGGTCCACCTACTTCAGATGACTCTCCCCCATGCCTCTTCTGGGCTTACTACACTTTGTATTTCAGAGCTCAGCCCCAGCATCTCTCTGTCTGGTAGCCATTCCTGACCCAGACTAGGTTTACTGCCTCCCCGTGTGCTCCCACAACATCCTCCATTAACCCTATGAGAACATTTAACACATGCTCCTTTGTATTTGCAAATTTATTTGCTTGCCTGCAAGTTCCTCAAGGCAAGTTGCCATCATTCCCACGTGTAATTGTACCTCCTATGCAGCTTAAAATATTTGAATGAGTTTTTTTTAATCAGTGTAGTTGACTGTGTTAGGCTGCTTTCTTCCAGATCTT